ACAGGTATGTGGGTATGGGAGTAAGGAGTGCAGCAAAAACAATTCCTCAACTTAAACAGAAAATTGAAACAACTCAATTATATATATATATATACCTACCTAATACTAGCTCTTTACCAAGGATTTTGACTTATTGCTTAGAAATGTATAATATTGGGCTGGCCAAATAGCTCAGCAGATTAAAGCACCTGCAAGCAGGTGCAGGGGCCAGGGATTCAATTCCCGGGCCTGCTGTGCCAGCGCCACACCCAGGGCACACTGAGACTGCAATTGAGATTGGGTGTGGTGGCGCGGGCCTGTAATCCTAGCTCTTGGGAGGTGGTAAACAGGCAGATCACTAAGTCTGATCTAGTAGTGAGACCCTAAACACCCTCTAGACCCTTCCCTAAAATTAAAAAAAGAAAAAAAGAAAAAGAAATGTGTAATATTGCTTGGCAGATTTTGAATCAGTACTCTTTCCATGCAAATAAAATACATGTGAATATTTTAGTGGATGTAGCAAAAGAAAGTAGAATATATCTGAATTGTGCCTAGGCTTAAAAGGGGAAAATGCAGAAGGAAAGAATTAAACAGCCAGGAGGTGTGGAGAGGAAGACATAACCACTTAGATTTATATGTTTATTTTTTAGCATAAAATGTACAATATGAATATGGATTTGCATAATGTAGGCAGATGAAATTAAAAGGTAGAATAAAGGAACAGAGGAATTTGTAAGTGGTATTATCTCTTAAATTACTGTTCCTTGAAGAAAAATTAAAGCTCTGCAGTTTTGAGAGACCTGTGTGTCTCTGTGTGTCTGTGTCTGTGTCTGTGTCTGTGTCTGTGTCTGTGTCTGTGTCTGTGTCTGTGTCCAGCTCAGCCCACCAGGGGGCGGGGGTGGCTGGCATGTGGTGCTGGGGGATTGAACTCCGCCCCTGTGCTTTGCTAAGCTTGTTCTAAGTAGGTGCTTTAGACCACTGAGCCATCTCACCAGCCCCTTTTTTCTTTCTTATATGTTATAGCCTCTCCCTGAGTCAGTAATCCTGGACGTTAGGCAGAAGAGTTGATGTTGTGTGTCTCCCATCCTGGAGACACATTTTCTCTTATTCAACATTCATTTCAGAAACTTGATTGTTTGAGCGATTTTTTTCCTTGCAAAATCATTTACAAGAGAATTTTAGATTTTTTTCCTCCTCTCCATCCCAAATGCCTCTGTGAGGATTAATTAGAGATGCACAGAGTTCAGCAACTGGGAAAGCCATTAATAACTCAGCCAGCTTCTGTCCTGCTGGCTTAAAGGCAGCTTCTGGCTGTTAAAATTGATGAGGGTTCCTCTGGTGTTTCCCTGAAAAGTGTTCCTCCTGTTTTGGAAAAGCAACACCAGCATATTTATGTGCTCTGGTTTTCACTTTTTCAGGGCCTACTTTTCCTGAAAAAGGATGTTGGCTATGTGGTATTAGAGCAAAAATTGTCCCTCTGGCCCCACCTCTCCCCCTGGCAGCTCCTTTGACAAACACCCTCTCATCCATACTACTCAGTCTGCCTGACGTGGTTTGCTTCTTTCTAGCTCATGAGGTCTTGGTGTATGTTGACCATACATCTGCACAAAATGAATGGTAGACTCTTAGTTTTCTGGATATAGCATTATATTAAGTACTTTTAATTCCTTTAGTCTTTTCTTTGAACTCTCATCATTCCTCTCCTCCCCTGACTTGTACATTGAGATATGTTTTCCTGCTTCAGTTCTTTGTCTCTGAATCTGCTCTTTTTTCCTAGATAACAGACTAGAGAGTAGTTACCCTTTTCACTTTTAGTTTCTTCAGACCCGTATCCTTGTTCCAGCATCTATGTCTGCCAGTGCTAAAACCACACTTTCTTTTTTGTATGACTTGTCCTTTGGTTGGGTATTCTTACTTTCCCACCTTAACCTATTCTTGTTTTCAAGGTTTTTCTGGTCAACAAATGTCTAAGCTATTTGTTTTTCCCATAGGCTTTTGTTACCCACAGACTGTTTCATCCGTGTGTTCAGCACGCTCTTTCTCTTGCTAACCATTCTGCTCCTGCCCTGTCACTTCCTCTTCCTTTTGCTAGAGTCCTAACCCTCTGAGTAGCAAGGATTCTGTGTCAGTTGGGATGCCACTTATCTCCTGCTTTTCCTTCTTTAGCCAAGATGTTAAGCTGAGGCCCAACACCAACACTTCCATTCAGAGTATATTGTTTTTTTATGGTCCTTCTGCCTGAGACTTTCCTTATACCTAAATGAGCTGATCTCATTATTTTCCTTTAAAAAAAGAATTATCCAGATTTTTTTTTTCTTTTTTTCTTTTTTTTTTTTTTTTAGACAGAGTCTCCCTGTGCAGCTGAGGCTGTCCTAGAGCTCACTTTGTACCCCAGGCTGGTCTGGAACTTGCAGTGATCCTCTTGCCTCAGCCTCCCAAGTCTCCAGTTATCACTGAACACCTTAAAACCATTTGTGCTGGCCATATCCTAGGCTCCTCCTATTATCCTCTTTTTTTTGGGGGGGGGTATAAATTACATATAACATAAAACTATTTTAATCCCCCCCTCCTTTTTTTAAATGAAGAAACTGAATCATAGTGAACCTGATTGCGTTTAGGCTTAATATCAGAAGAAGTTTGTCCTTTGGTTGAGTGTGTTGTATGTTGTAAGGGTTCACATTTTCCCCAGCCTTAGTGTTTGTCCATTGTTCTGAGTTGTCTTTCTGTATTTTCTCACTAAGTTCTGTGTCACCCTCAGGTGTTTGAGACTCTTCAGTGCCATTCAGGGCACTGGTGTCTCCTCCCCTACCCTCCTTGGCTGATACCAGATAAAGGATTCTTTGTTGTCCAGAAGGACATGGTTCTTTGGCCTTGTAGGAGCAAATTGTCAGCTCCATAGTGCGGTTCTGTGAGAGCTGTGAAATGGAGTCATTGAATTTGTTGCCCAGCACTTCTTTTTAGCTTGGTTGTCAGTCTTGTTTCTTTCTTTTCTCCCCTCCCCTCTCCTTCTTTTCCCACTAGTTTTAGTACTCACAATTAAACCTGTGAGTGTTCTACCACTCAGATACATCTCCAGCCCTCTCTCTCTCTCTCTCTCTCTCTCTCTCTCTCTCTCTCTCTCTCTCTCTCTCTCGACAGGATCTCTTATTGTGTGGCTCATCCTGGCCTTGAACATGCTATGTAGATCACACAGGCCTTCAACTTGTGATGCTCCTGCCTCAGCTTCCTGAGTGCTGGAATTATAGATGTGTACCATATATCCAGCTAGAACTAGAACTTTTGATCTCATTATGTTTTTTAGCCCCCTCTTTACTTTCTATTTAGTCTTATATCTTTCGGCTTATTCCTTCTTTTATATATAGTGTTTCAAGCCCAAGGAATGTGATATCTTAAGGGAAACAGTCATGTGCTTTCTCTTTTTGGGAAAATAAAAACCACCAAATACTGACTTTTAATAGATGAACTTCCCAATATCCCTGTATTGATTTCTCTTAATGCCTAGCAACCAATCTACCAAGATACAAAAATCATCATGGCTTTTGTTTCAACCTTGGACAGCTCCCAATGGCCCACTTAAAAATCAAAGTGTTGCCTTAACTTTGGTTCCAGGGTTGGTTTGAAGATTATCTCATTGATTTGATGATAATCCACAGGAAGAATTCAGAAAATGTCCCAATTCAGCTCTCAGAAGTTCATTTATTTTGTGGCGTTGTTTAAGCAGCTAATTAACTGTTCTGTCCAGTCTGTGCCCTTTGGCTTATTGTTCCTGTGATGCATTGGAAACAAAGCCACATGAAGTTCCTTTTTCTTTTCTTGTAGGAAGCAGTGAAGTATGGCAGAAAGATCTTCCTCGAGTCTTGCTTTTGCCACTTTCTCGTTGTGTAACCTTAGGTGTTTGCCTATCTGGATTTTTAGTCTTGTCTGTAAAACAGAACTAATAATACTCGATGGGGTAGCTAGAAAGATTAAATTAGATACAGTAACCTCTGTACTGGATAAATACATGCTGATTATTATACTTGTTTTAATGTCCATAAAAAAAGCATCTTGACTTTTTTCTTTTTACTTAAGTGCTTACGCCACCAAGCTATATCCCAGCCCTATGATTGTATTTTCTAATGTTAACCATTGTTAGTTTTTTGGCCTTTTTCAAAGAAGGACCTAGCTACAATCTTTTTCTTTATCACTGACTTTTCTTTATCACTGATTCATCTGAAGATAACTGTTTGCAAGTTTATGTTTCAAGTCCTAAAATCTAAACTTGGCTTCACTTTCAGGTATCACAGGTTCAAAGACCACACTGACTCAAGAAAAATCCTCCTGTTTTCCTGAACTATTGGTAAATGCTCAACAAGCTTCTAGTAGAGGTTTTCCAGAAATGTGCTATAGTAATATACCACCCAAATTAGTGAGACAACAGATGACTGATGTCTATAGACTCCTCCCCTCAATAGGAATTTAGTTTGGGAATTGTGGATGATTGTGTTTTAGTGTTTCTCTATGTCTCAGAGGTCCCTCCCGCTCTGACTTTTTGCTTTTAGGACTGTGTCAGGGATGAAGCCCAAGTTGTCCTTAAACTCATTATACTTTTGTCTCAGTCTCCTAGATGCTAAAATTATGGGTGTGTGCCATCATGCCTGACTTTTTCTTAATGACTCTCCTATGTGTAATTTTCTTGTTTCCTCTAGGGATAATGGTGATAGATCCAGGCACCGAGCTCCCCGTAATGCCCGGATGTCTGCACCTTCACTTGGACGCTTCGTTCCAAGGTAAAAACTGGGTTGTGAACAACAGAAGATGCTTGGGATTTAGTTTTAAACCTACTTTGGGATCTTTGGATTATCTATATCAGGAATTACTTTCTAATGAGCCTAGATTCCCACCCTGTCACCTGAAGACCTAACAGGAAATGATTAACCCCAGTGCAAAGAGAGAGCAAACTGGTACTGGAGCATCCTGTTGAAACATAGAAGCCTTGGAGGCTTTGGGTATGATTGGGTGGGATTACTTTAGAAGGGCAGGAAGGAAATACAAATTCATAAAAGGACAAATCCTGGGAATTTTCATACCTTTCTGAGTTTCTGTAGTTTGTTTTTTTTTTTTTTTAGGTTTGGTGTATCCCTTAGTCTAGAATTTTGAAGGCAAATGTCCTTGTTTTGTGGTAGTCTTCAGTAAGCTTTTCATACATGATTCCTTCTTGTAGGCGCTTTTTGCTGCCTGAGTACTTGCCTTATGCTGGGATTTTTCATGAACGTGGACAGCCTGGGTTGGCTACGCACTCTTCTGTTAACAGGGTCCTGGCAGGTAAGGAAATGATTTTTTGGATTTTTACATTGTCAGATGGCAGGGAGTCAGATAAAGCTTTTTGGTCCTATAATTTGTATTGGTGTAATAGTGTGTTGGCTGAAAACTGTTTTCTTGGTTCCTTACATCAAGGCAGTAAACAACAGGGTTGAAACATCTTTTTCATTCTTATTCTTGTTTCTTTCAGACTTTCTGTTAAAATGTTTGAACTGTTTGTTTTTTAATCTAGCAATTAAATTTCAGCTATGCTTTTAATTGAATAATAAGGTGTCTTGTTCATGTTTTGGTTGAGGAGATACTCATGAGCTGGATCCTGTGATTTAATTAGGAGCTTAACACACCTCTTCAACCCTTTGCTGCTGTCAGTGCATGGGATTTCCAGTGATGGTGGACTCTTTGAAGGGTTTAGATGGGGGAGAGACCCTTTGAGCTGGATCAGAACTTTTTATAGAACAGAGAATGGGCTAGAAAAGCCCTACTGGGCCAGATTTTTTTTTTTTTTTTTTAAATTTTAAGACAGGATCTACAGGGTCTCACTAAATAGGTTGGACTCAGTGATTTTCCTGTATTCAGCTTCCCAAGTGCTGGGATTACAGACATGTACCACCACACCCAGTCTCAATCCGAGGTCTCAGCGTGCCCCGGGGGCAGGGCTGGCACAGCGTGCCCGGGATCAAATCCCAGCGCTGCAGCTGCCTAAGCAGACACTTTAATCCTCTGAGCTATTTGGCCAGCCCTCATACTGGGCCAGATTTTTATGGGCTCTGAAGTTTTATGTGACCAGGCTGTGAGATATGGTATGTCCAACAGCTTCTGATGACAAACGTTGCTGCCTTTCCCTTCTGTACACTGCTACCTTATAAGTTTATGTATGGAAAGGCATAAAAGGTATAAAATTCAAGCTACATTTAGTTACATCTTAGTAAATATCTTTATGAAACATTTTGAGACTGGCAGGGTAGCCTTGTGCAGAGTGGTTTGTATTATGTAGTCCTGGGTGTGATTCCCAGCATTGTAAGAGCAAATCAAATGAAAAACCTCATAAAATTCTGTTGTAGATAGCCTGTGCCATGTGGTGGCTAAAGGTACAGAGATGTGGTTGTCAAGGGTACAGAGATCTGGTGAGACAGGGTGAATATTTGTGATAGCTTGTAGCCCATTGGATCTGGCCTCCCCAGGGTAGCATCATTGACCCAATTAATAATGGAGCCTAGAAATCCCACAATCCTCAGGACTTTCTCTGCCAGTCACAAAAGCTTTGCAAGCCCTGAGCTGGCGAGGTTGCAGACTATACCACAGTAATCTGCCAGCTTCATCTGAGGAAAGTTCCAGCCCTGGCTGTTAGACAAACCCTATGGCCTTGGACCTCTCCTCACCTTGGGGAGTTTCATGGCTTAGCAGAAGGCATGTAGAAGCTTATCCTTGTAGTTAATCACTTTCAGCCTATCAGCTCCTGGCCACTCATATTTGTTTCAAACATCTGCCTCCCCCACCCAACACCACAGCAGCAGGATGTTTGTTATCACTGAAAGCTCCAAAAGGTTTGCCATTACTGTTTCAGATTTTTTTGGCAGTTGTGTAATTTTTGTCTTTCTTTGAGGAAATACCAACAATAATAACACCAACAAATGCTTAACATTTATCGAGCACTTGCTGTGTACTAGGGAAGATCTTAAGTGCTTTATACACATTCTATTTCTGTCCTATGGTACAGTAAGATGAGTGATGTAACCTAAGTAACAGTGGCAGAAACTAAAACCCAGAGCATCAAGTCCTCCAGGTTGACGCAGCCAGGCAGCACTGAAGCCCAGCAGCCTGTGGGCTCCAGGGTGAGATGTCCAAGCTGCTTGCCTAGGCTGCCTCCCTGCAGTTGTTTAACAGACACAGCATCAAATTAATGTTCGTTTTTCAGGACCATAATCAAGAAGAGAGAAAGAGCTCTCAGGGAACTTGACTAACCTTCAGAATTTTTTTAAATTCTTCCGTTTTAAGTAGTTCCTAGACATGGCTTTTTATGACCCAGTGATGCTTGTTGGAGAAAATCTTGTTATGTAATAGTTGTTTCCCAAGCCTTTTTGTCCTCCTGGATACAGATGTTTTGCTTTTATTAAACTTGCGATCATGTAATTGAGCTGCTGTAATAATGGCTTTCTGAGTGAAAGAGAAATTGGCCCTTTACTAGTAAGCACTCCCAATTTTCCTGGAAAGGCACTTTCTCGTGTATGATTGGAATGAGGTTGTGACGGTCTCTAAACAATTACATTCAGCACATTTTTTTTTCTTTTTCTTTCTTTTTTTTTGAGCACATATTTGTTCTGCAACTGTTGTGTGTCAGGCAGTGTTCTAGGCCACGAAGGTAAATAAAGATAGCTATGAGGCCTGCTCTCCTATTGTTCAGTCTCAGTGGCGAGCCATACTTAATCTTAGTGTTCATCTCTTGGCTGAAAATATTATTGGATTCTTTGGATAATGAGTCACTTCTTGCAGGGGTGAAGCATAGATATTTGGCAGGCATGGAGGCACAAAGCAGACACATACATGCAGTTTTAAAAGATGTGACCATCGCTGTGGTCACATGGTCACAAATGAATATCAAGTGGGCCCTAACAAAACCTATTCAGAAACATCAATAAAAATGAATTTGAGGGGCTGGAGAGATAGTTCGGCAGTCTAAGTACCTGCCTGGCAAACTCAGGGATCTAGGTTCAGTCCCCATTACCACATGCCATGTCAGCCCCAGAACCCCAGGCACTCCGTGCTGGCCACTAAACGTGGGCATGGTGGCATACACCTGTGGAGGCTAAGACAGAAGGATCACTGTGAGTCCAAGCTGCATAGTTAGACCCTGTACCAAGTAAATGAATGAATGAATGAATTAATGAATTAATGATAAAGAAAAAATGAATTTGAAAAATTAAGATTGGTTTGGTCTTCTGCCAGAAGAGCCTGGAGTGATAGAAAACAGAAGTTACCAAGCAGTAATCCTGATAGTCTGATCAGTTTCATCTCTTCACCCTTCTTTTAAAAAATTCTATAGGTTGCTGGTGGCTTTCAGCAACCCTTTAACCCAGGTCAGAACCAATCTAGGCCCATACTCAAAACAAGTATAAGTAGATTTAAAGCTGCTATAACTCTAGCAGGTATGTATTTGGGGAAACATGCAGAAGTCTAGAGAGCTCCCCCTGCTGACTCTTTAGTAGACAGCTTTAGTAATTACAGCAACTGAAACAAAGGAAATGACTGCCTGCAAAGGGCCAGGTACCATCCTAAGTGCTTTGTCATGTGTTATCGTCTTTAATCACTGTGTCAACTCTGTGAGGTAGGTGCCATTTCCATTCTGCATGGATGAAAACTAAGGCTTAAGTTACACCACTTGGCCAGTATGACACCATGAGAAGCAGACTTGGAACTTGCAGCCAGGTCTGCTGGACTCATGAGTCAAGACCTCTCTTCGGTCTTCTGTGCAATTTTTCTTGAGTTCATCAAATAGGGAATATCTGCCAAAAGGTTCTTAAGCTTAAAATATTTTCCTGCATATTTGAGGCCTCATAAAAGTGAAATGAGAAGCCCTCGCATTTGACAGCCTCCTCATAATTACTGGAAGAACAAAAAACTTCTGAAGAATAGGGACCTGGGTCACACAGAGTATTAGTGATCTTCCCTACATAATCTTTTTGACTTTCATCCTAATGAGCATCTGCTTTAGCAGATGTGGGCCTTAATTTAGTATTTTGATTAAAATCAATGGGAAGTGTCAGGATTTTCTTGCTCCTGCCCAAAGGCCTTTGGAGCCTGGTAAGTATCTTGGGCTAGAGGTGGCTTTGTGCTCAATCTTCCTAAGTTGTCTTGTGATTTCTTTGACCCATTAGTTGTTTAGGAATATATTGTTCATTTTTACATGTTTGTGAATTACTCTCATTTCCTTCTGCTAGTGATTTTTTTAATTTAGTTTCACTGTGGCCTAGGAATGTACTTCGAATTATTTCAATTATTTAAATTTATAAGAATATTTTGGCTTAGTTTATGACCTGCCCTAGAAAATATTACCTGTGTGTTTGAGAAGAATGTATGTTATTAGCTAGAGTTCTGTAGGTGTCAAATAGAACTACTTGGTTGATAGTGTTGTTCAAGTTATGTATATACTGGCTGATATTCTTATTTTCTTATCCTGTTTATTATTGTGTGATGTTGAAGTTTTCAGGTTTTGTTGTGTCTTTTTTGTGTGTGTGTGGAACCGGGGATTGAACTCAGGCCCTTGCACTTGCCAGGCAAGCGCTTATTCTGAGCCATCTCCCCGACCCTTTGTAGTGTCTTTATCCCTTTAGTTCTGTCAGGTTTTGATTCATATATTTTGGCATGTTGTCATTATATGCATGTGCATTCATAATTCTTACAACTTTTGATCATTATAAAATGTCCCTCTGTCTCTAGTCATATTTTTGTGTTAAAGTAAGTTTTAATCAGTATACTTAAACTGTTTTATAGTTATTGATTGTGATGTATCTTTTCCCATCTTTTTGCTTTTAACCTAGATTTTTGAATCTGAAGTGTATAACTTACAGAAAACGTATAATTGAATCTTGTCTTTGAATTATTTGATCCATTCACAGATAATGTTATTGATTTTTACCTGTCATTTTGCTTTATTTTTTATATTTTTGTCCTTTTTTTTTTTTTTTCCTTTTTGAAACAGTGGCTCACTCCCTAATTGAGGCTGGTTTTAAACTCATTGTGTAGCCCAGGCCTTAAATTTATGACAGTTCTCCTGCCTCAGCCTCCTGAATACTGGTATTACAGGCATGCCCCACCATGGTTAGCGTAAATGTCTTGTTTTGAACCAGCAGTTGAACTCAGGACACTGTGCTTGCCAAACAGGTGCTGTGCACTGAGCTACATCCCCGACTTTAATGTCTTCTTTATTCATGTTTTTCTATGACTTTATATTAAATGGATACCATCTAATGTACCATTTTAATACCTTTATTGAGTTTTGAACTATA